CAAGTCTAACATTTTTTTTTTCTTTTTTGATATTCTAAAAAATTAGCTAAAAATTCAGATGATGATTGAAAGGAAATATGGATATTGGTTTGAGAAGGAGGCATCAGATACAAACAGAAGGGAAATAAACTTCTCTGCTTGTTTCTACCAGATGTGGACTTTCAGAATTAGAAACAGTACAAACAGATATCCATCAAGAAATGTTATTTCTGGATTTAAGCCCAAATAGAAGCCCTGCCATACTGGATCGCCTGAGGAAAAACTTAACTAGCCTGCGTTTAGATGGATTATTCCAGTTTATAACCACAGATACCTGCATCTCTCAGACTAGTTTTTCCGGTGGACTGTCTAGTGATGCCATATTGATTTCAGGTTTAAGAAGTATTTGATTGCGTTTTCCATGTCTATTCTTAATCACAACCATCAGATAAAGTGAAGAAGTAGTTTGCAAGAATTCTCTCTACAACCCCTAATTTATCCTGCTTTTCTTGTTAATGAAGTTATGCATTAGGAATGATGATAACTGGTAAGAGAAAACTAAATAAAAATGTATTCTGCTGTTTTATAATCAAAAGAAAATTAAAAAATGCTACAATTTTTCTATTTATTCCACCATGTTCTCCCAAAATCTTTATTATAATAGCCAGTAGCAGATGGGGGATACTAATTCAAAAGATATGCAAGCGCCTAGCTGCACCTGTTATCAGTTACACAGTTAATCATGAATGATCACCTGCAACACACCAACTGATTGCACACTGATATTATTCTGTTTGCACAAGGAATTTAGTGCATTTTTTGGGGGGAAATCAGGCATTAAGTATGGAGAAAATCCGAATCCTTCTAAAACCACAGTTCCCCACTAATATACCCTACAAAGCTATTTTCCTGCTAAGTGCTAAAGAGGCGTCAATCATAAGCTAATTAACTTTAAAGAAATCCAAGAAAAAAACATTCTTGGCAACATAAAACTTGAAGGGCATAGTCACGTTATATCACATTAGTTGTTATTAATCTATAGTAGGGCTGCAACTAACGGAGCCATATATATATATATATTTTTTTTTATTTATTTTTTTTTTATTTTTTTATTTTTTTTTAGGGATGGAACGGTTTATGAAAACCGCGTTTGGTTCATGCTCTGCTCCTTTTTCTCATTGGCGAAGCGTTTACACTCCAGAGCAGAAGGTGGCGGTACTGCGACCAAAGCCAACCACCAGTAGTAAAGAAGAAGAAGAAGAAGCGAAGCAGCGTAGACGGGTGTAGCAGAAAAAAATCAGTTGTTGTGGAGAATTGTGTGGGTATGGTGAGTGGGAAAGAACAGGAGTTGGAAGACGCGCCAGCAGCACTTTATAGGTCTGCTGTATGGGACCACTTTGCATTTAGAGTGACCTACGATGACGGCGGGAAGAAAGTTGTGGATAAAAGGGCAACAGTGTGCAAGCATTGTGCAACACATTTTGTTTATGCTAACCCCGAAATCCCTCATACTCCGTCAGCGCTCCGCCCCGCTGCGCTCCAGACCGGCTGCTCAAAGCAAAGCCTACAGCCTCCACTGTGGCTCCCGTCTGCTCCGCTTGTGCCAGATGATTAAATTCAAAGTAGTAAAACATGCGGAAATTATCCAGGGTTTCCCTGATCATTAAAAATAATTACAATTCATTAATTTTTTGGTATTTTTTCATTAATTTCATAAATTTTTATGGGATTTCGGTGTAACAATCAACATATACCGAACCGAACCAAAAACCGTGACCAGAAACCGTGAACCAAACCGAACCGTGGATTTTGTGAACCGTTCCACCCCTTATATATATATATGAGAGTCATGGGTATTTGATGGCATTAAATTATTTGTAAGGGCATAAAAGACCATTAAATTAAATTAAACGGGAGTTACTCATTCATGTATTAACACTGATATCACTTTATTATTGTTTTTTTTTTTATTATTTAATTAACTAACAGCTTTTGGCTTTTGGTCCCTTTACAGGCAAAGATGATGCTTCATCTTCCAGTAGGAGAATGAGCCAAATACGCCGCTACTGAATTATTTAAAACCAAATAAGGTATTAAATTTTCAAATCAGATTAGAGATGTGAAAGCTGCTTTTCACAGATGCTCTTTATTCTATATACAGATACAACAGATAACAGATGAATTGTGATATATTGCAGTTTGTTGGGCATATTATGTCTGAAATGGCAATCAATACCATTTTCATTTTCAATTATTTCACTGGACACATCACTGCCCTCCTTATTCATGTAAATTCCAGGATGCAGAGATTGTTTATAAGGTGATCTAATGACACTTTTAGGGACCGCACTGCAAAAACTTTCTGAAAATGAGTAAACATATCTTAAAATAAGTGTATTTAGCCTTAATATGAGTAGGAAAATAAGATGCTCTGCCAATGGAATAAGCATTTTACCCTTAAAATAAGATAATTAGATATTATGCAATTGAAATAAGAGACTGCAGTTGTTTTTTTTCTTATTTTAAATGTACATTGTCTTCCATTGGCAAAGTGTCTCACTTACCTGCTCAATTCAAGAAAAAAATGCACTTATTGTAAAAAAAAAAAGACTTATTTAGATGTACATTTTTTGCAGTGCATCAATGCTCACATACAGTGAAGGGATGAATAGGTTAAAGAGAAAACAGCTGTGGATGAAGAGCGACAATGAAGTTGAGATATTAAACCAGACCTTAAACCGGCAATGAGTTAATAAGGACTAGAGATTTCAGCACACCTCCATCAAAACTGCGTATATAACTAATAAACTGAGAAAAGGATAATGAACTTTATTATGAGCGCCATCACTGAAGGGGGAGTCATTTGGATGTAGTGGTTGTGAGTAATTTGCTTATTCATTTATTAACAGCTTTAACCCCTTAAGCCCAGAGGGTCTTAGGAGCAAATTATGCCTGAAGTTACATTTGCACTGCAAAAACGTTCTGAAGATTAGTAAAAATGTCTTTAAAGGAATAGTACACCCAAAACATGATTAGCCTTCATTTTCTACTCCCCCCATGCTGAACAACACTCTGGAGTACTTTTTTGATATCTCAAATGCATCTGGAGATCTGGGAGGCTTCTTGCTGTCTGCTGACATTCAAATAATGGAGGTCTATGGCGCCCGAGGCAGAAAGGTCCATAAAAGTCCACAAAAAAATGTGTCAATATTCCTCCATACTGCTCGTCCAATGTATTCCAAGTGTCCTGAGTGGGTAGCGTCCATAATTTACTCGAAACGAAGCCATTTAGAATGTTTTTAGAGCATAAACAGTAGTTTATAGGATTTCCTAAAAGCGCGCGCCTGCGCGTTCACGACGCTACGGAAGCCGGCAGACCAAACCAGATGAAAGTGCGCATTCAGCGTCTGCTCTGCCGATAATGCAAGCGTAGAAGAAGAAATGTGCTGTTTACCTGTGCAAAGAAAGAAACAACGAAAGAAAAATGTCTGAGGACTTCAGTGTTGAGGAAGAGCATGAGTTCTTTGCCGAGCTGAATGCGCACTTTCATCTGGTTTGGTCTGCCGGCTTCCGTAGCGTCGTGATCGCGCAGGTGCGCGCTTTCAGGAAATCCTATACACTACTGTTTATGCTCTAAAAACATTCTAAATGACTTCGTTTCGAGTAAATTATGGACGCTACCCACTCAGGACACTTGGAATACATTGGAAGAGCAGTATGGAGGAATATTGACACGTTTTTTGTGGACTTTTATGGACCTTTCTGCCTCAGGCGCCATAGACCTCCATTATTTGAATGTCAGCAGACAGCAAGAAGCCTCCCAGATCTCCAGATGCATTTGAGATATCAAAAAAGTACTCCAGAGTGTTGTTCAGCATGGGGGTGAGTAGAAAATGAAGGCTAATCATGTTTTGGGTGTAGTATTCCTTTAAACAAATGTATTTACCCTAAATTTGAGCAGGAAAATAAGATGATCTGCCAATGGAATGAGCATTTTTACCCTTAAAATAAGATAAATTAGATACTATGCACTTGAAGTAAGAGAATATAGTTGTTTTTTCTTATTTTAAATGGAAACAGTCTTATTCCATTGGCAAAGAGTCTTACTTACCTGCTCAATTCAAGAAGAAATGCACTTGTTTTAGGAAAAAATTACTTACTTAGATTTAAATTTTTTGCAGTGTGTGAATTAAAGCAAGTTCAGCTCCCAAACTATAAATTGGAAATACAATTGTTTATATCTGTATGACAGAAAAGCATTGAGGAATGTCACCATGTCTGATTTATAGGTGATTAAACTAAGAAAAAATGGAAAATATTTAGCCAAATTTATTTCCAAAATAAAAACTGCAAAACACCATGAAAGCCCATTTGAAACTCTAGATGCACTGGAAAAACGATCTAGAAATTATTAAACGTTTCTTAAATTAAGTGTATTTACCCTCATTTTGAGTGGATAAATGAGGTAGTTTGCCAATGGAATGAGTATTTTTACTCTTAAAATAAGATATTTAGATAAAATGCACTCGAAATAAGACAATGCAATTGCATTTTCTTATTTTAAATGTAAATTGTCTTGTTCCATTGGCAAAATGTCTCTTTTATCTCCTCAATCCAAGAACAAATGCACTTATTTTAAGAAAAAATGACTCATCTAGATTTGGATTTTTTCCAGTGTGAACCCTCAGACTTTATAGATCCACATCTTGATTATAACTCAAGCAATTTTGGACTGAGGGGGGGGACTCCATTTTTAAGAGATATGCAGGTGATCAAAAACGCTAACTTGCCCTGAAAGGGTATGTCAATTTTCAGGAAAACTGTATATGATGTTTTATAATTAAAAAAAGGGCAACAATTCCAGATTCTAAATGTCTGAAACAGAAAACTTAAATAACCCTGAAAAGGAGTTTGCGGAAATATAGTTTTAAATTTGACATTTTTTGTCATTTTCTTCACTTCACATCCGACTTCACCTCAGTGTTTTATTTAAAACGGCTGGATTATGTGAATTATTTTACCTCTTTGAGAATCCCAGTGAGTCTCTCAGTCTCACAGTCTATGATGATGTGTCCCTCCTTCCGCTTGTCCAAATCCTGGAACACTTTCAAGAAAGACGCCCCCGTCATGCTCTCCACGTTGACCGAGGTCACCAGCCAGTTCTTCTCTGCTGCCGTGTCCAGAACCTTCTGCAGCACTGAGAGACCTGAGGAGGACAAGACAAGGTCAAACCTTAAAGCAGCTGCAGAAGAAGAAATTTACTTTAGAGGCAAGTTTGGACAAAAGTTCTGCATGAAAAATGGCTGATTGGGGATGATCTCCAGAAAGCAGTGAATAAACGTCCACACCTCATGGGGAAGCACGCCGTAACTTACAGCTGGATTATGCTCACATTGTGTGCTAGGGATAACGCTGGAAAAAATCGAAATCTAGGTAAGTCATTTTTTCTTAAAATGAGTGCATTTGTCCTTGAATTGAGGAGGTAAAAGAGACATTTTGCCAATGAAACAAGAAAATGTATATTTAAAATAAGAAAACACAATTGCATTGTCTTATTTCAAGTGACAATTATCTAATATCCTATTTTAAGTGTAAAATTACTCATTCCATTGGCAAACTATCTCATTTACCTACTCAAATTAAGGGTAAATACCAAGGGCGTAGGTTTGATTTCAACTGTGGTAGGGACACTATTAGTCGGATGTAATTGGTCCTATGCAAAAATTATGCATGCTCTGTTTTTATGCTTGACGTGAAAATCAGGGTGTATTTCGTTTAAAAAGAAAAGCAGCATTTCTTGCTACATTTGTAAAAAATGTTACAAGCGCTACACACACTAAATGCTGTTTATCAATGTTTGAAGCATCATCGGCTCTGATGAATGATGAATTATGACTTTTTTTCCACTTTGAAAAGGTTGCATCTGAAATTACCAGCGACTAAGACAGAAAGTAAATCTGTGCCTTTATATCAAAATATAGTCTAAACTGTCTCTTATATGTGGATTTATCCAGTCTTTTCTTTTGATGATATACAATTGTGCAGAGGTAAAACCCACACCTATCTTAATATAATAGATTCGAGGGACACTAAATTAATGTATTGTATGGTTACTCTATTTAACCGATATCATGTATTTTATTTTGGGCTAAAACAATTAACCGGAATAATCCATTATTGAAATGTCAACAAATTTAATAATCAATTAATCGTTATCTGGTATATAGAGACTGTAAAACATGTCTTTAGCTCACAGAGCGATCCACTTAGAGCAGGAATTATGCCAATACCATTGCAAAAAATATATATAAACAAACATTTTTTCGTCTGTCAATATTCTCCATCCCATCTACTGCTGCAACCCAGCTGTATTGTAAATTATAAACATGTTATTCACATCTAATTGTTGGTAGGGACAAGTAGGTCTGTCCAAAATTTTGGTAGGGACATGTCCCTATGTTCCCTATGCAAACCTACGCCCATGGTGAATACACTTAATTTAAGACATTTTTTAGGCATGCACGATATTGGGATTTTGGCCGATATCCGATATCGATACTGATGTTAAAGCTCGACAAAAATAAGTAGTCATTGAAAATAGCAGTTTTGTTATCCATTTCTGACACTTTGAAAAATAATGAACTCAAATATATTTTCATATGCTGATATCACAATGATTTTTAAAAACGCGGTATCGATCTATTTTACTTTCAAAATCTCGTGAAATTTCATCGTTCTGTTACAAACTCTCGCGATATTTTGCAAATTCTTGAGAGATTTTGTTAGTAAAATAGATCGATACCGCGTCAATATATCAACATATAAAAATATGACAAAATTTCGTGAATTTTTGGGGGATTTCGTAGCATAACGATGACATATAGCAATATTTCATTAGTAAAAGAGATTGATATGGTGTTTTTAAATGGCAATATATCAGCATATGAAGATATTGGGATATTTTAATGTATCAATATTTTTTCCCTGGTCTTTAGAAGTTTTTAAGTCTGTAAAAAAGAAGTTTTTGAGGAAGAAGAAGAACTAGTATTTATTTTTCTTTTTTTTAGACTTTAGAAACTTAGAAGCTGATCAAATATTGCGTTAAATATCGGTGGGGTGGCCGATGTCCGATATTCAGTTTTAAGGCCGATACCGATAGAGGGCTGATTATATCATGCATCCCTAAAATGATAAATAGATTTTTTCTTGAAATAAGTGCATTTTGTCTTGGATTGAGGAGGTAAAAGAGACATTTTGCCAATGGAACAAGACAACTTCCACTTAAAATAAGAAAACATAATTACATTGTCTTATTTCAAGTGTATATTATCTAATTATCTTATTTTAAGAGTATAAATACTCATTCCATTGTCAAACTATCTGATTTAGCTACTCAAATTAAGGATAAATACGCTTAATTTAGGAAACTTTTACTTATTTCTAGATTGTTTTTCCAGTGAACATGAGCTGGGAAACAAATCAAGGCATGTTGTGGACCAATCAGAAGCTGCGCTCAGACCCATATTTCTTCTTATAAGCTTCTCCATCAGAATCTCCCCTGTAGCTTTGGTGATAAAGTGCAACGAGCAGGACAGTCCATTAAGCACTCTGACACTTGCAGGTGTGCGTCTCCAGCTTGTGCGCCGCCAGCCTAAGTAATCACCACTTTCATGCTAACATATAATCGTCCCAGGCTTCATCTCGGTCTGCGGACACACTAACATCCAGACATGCCTCCTTTAAGCACCAATTACAGGTGGTGATACTCAATTACCCTGTCTGTGATATGCTGCTGAGCATCACAGAGAGGCAGGGCGGCCAATGAGCTGAGGGCTTACGGTAAGACAGGAAATAAAAAGAGATTAGGGAACACATTGATCTTGAGCTGTGATTTACAGCCTGACTCACTGTTGTACTTGTGCTGCTGGCAGAGGACCGATCCGATTCCTCTCAAGCTGGCACTCGCAGCCGTTCCTCTGAGTAAATAAAGTCATTTCACCCACACTCTACGGGCTGCTGTAATCTAAATGAACTGTAGCAATTAGAACATTGAGATACAAACCAGCATTTCATTTGGTTGTTTTTTTTTATTTTACTATCCCAACATTAATTTCTATTGTTCTACATTTACAATGATTTCAATTCAGTACATAAATATTTTTGGATCCCAAAGAGAAAGTAAAAGTTGCAACTTTGCTTTTTGTTTTTCCAACTGTTTTTTCAATTCAATTCATACTTTATTAATCCCAATGGTAAATAGGCAGGAAGGATCATCTGTAGAGGTCTGCCTTGTACCTGATATGGAGACGCCTCTGACTAAAGACACTCACTGCAAAAAAATAGAAATCTAAATAACTTATTTTTTCTGAAAATAAGTGCATTTTTTCTTGGATTGAGGAGGTAAGGGAGACACTTTGCCAACGGAACAAGAGAATTTACATTTAAAATAGGAATAAAAAACATTGCATTGTCTTATTTCCAGTGCATATTATCTAATTATATTATTTGAGCAGAAATGCTCATTGCACTGGAAAAAATCAAAATCTACATTCGTATTTTTTTCTTAAAATTAGGGAATTTTTCTTGGATTGAGGAGGCAAAAGAGACATTTTGCCAATGGAACAAGACAATTTACACTTAAAATAAGAATAGATAATTTCATTGTCTTATTTCAAGTGCATATTATCTAATTATCTTATTTTATGAGGAAAAATACTCATTCTATTGGCAAACTATCTAATATACCTACTCAAATTAAGGGTAAATACAGTTAATTTAATACATTTTTACTTATTTCTAGATCTTTTTTCCAGTGTGGGAGATCATCTTATTTACCTCCTCAAATTAAGGGTAAATACACTTAATTAAAAAACGTTTAGTTACTTCTAGATTATTTTTGCAGTGGTCTGTTGGTTTATTTCAGCCTGATAAAGACGATGCTCATTGTTCTCCATGATATTTTCACTAAAAAATTTTCTGTGTGAAATAATCTCCAGATGTTCCAGAGGAGTTCCTACAAACTCCTACAAGAGTTGCTGCAAACGTAGAAGGACCTAAGCTTCCTTAGGAAGCACAATCTGCTCTGTCCCTTCTAGGAGACGGCTTCACAGTTGTGTCTCCAGTCTAGTTTGTTGTCCAGGTGAACACCAAGATGTTTAGAGTCCTCCACCAACTCCTCTTCTTCTACAGTAGCAGCCATTCAAAATGGCCTTTCCCAGTCAAATGCCAGCCGAAAGGCAGCACACTTCCCTCCAACTCCAGGCGAAATCCCCTCCAACTTCCCCTCTAGAATACTTTTTTTTTACTCTGACTCCACCCTTTCACTGAATTACAGGGTCTAACCAGGAGATGATGCTTCTCTTTAGATCTTAAAGGAATAGTACACCCAAAACATGATTAGCCTTCATTTTCTACTCACCCCCATGCTGAACAACACTCTGGAGTACTTTTTTGATATCTCAAATGCATCTGGAGATCTAAGAGGCTTCTTGCTGTCTGCTGACATTCAAATAATGGAGGTCTATGGCGCCCGAGGCAGAAAGGTCCATAAAAGTCCACAAAAAACGTGTCAATATTCCTCCATACTGCTCGTCCAATGTATTCCAAGTGTCCTGAGTGGGTAGCGTCCAGAATTTACTCTAAACAAAGTCATTTAGAATGTTTTTAGAGCATAAACAGTAGTGTATAGGATTTCCTGAAAGCGCGCGCATGCAAGTTCACGACGCTACGGAAACCGCGGCAGACCAAACCGGATGAAAGTGCGCATTCAGCTCGGCAAAGAACTCATGCTCTTCCTCAACACTGAAGTCCTCAGACATTTTTCTTTCATTGTTTCTTTCTTTGCACAGGTAAACAGCACATTTCTTCTTCTACGCTTGCATTATCGGCAGAGCAGACGCTGAATGCGCACTTTCATCTGGTTTGGTCTGCCGTGGTTTCCGTAGACTCGTGAATGCGCTTTCAGGAAATCCTATACACTACTGTTTATGCTCTAAAAACATTCTAAATGACTTCGTTTCGAGTAAATTCTGGATGCTACCCAGTCAGGACACTTGGAATACATTGGACGAGCAGTATGGAGGAATATTGACACGTTTTTTGTGGACTTTTATGGACCTTTCTGTCTCGGGCGCCATAGACCTCCATTATTTGAATGTCAGCAGACAGCAAGAAGCCTCCCAGATCTCCAGATGCATTTGAGATATC